GTCATTTAACCAGCTTACCCTTAAACAAACAGTAACAAAATCAAAATCAAATTAGACGCACCGCCGACTAAATTCGACAGGGCGCTAACTAAAAGGTTGTGTTTTAATACAAAAAATCAATAAGACGGACACAAACAGAATTACATGGAGCAACAATCAAAGGGTGCCAATTGTTAGAGTGGTAACATTATTATGAATTTCCAATGCAAATAGTTGACCGGTCGGGGCCTAAGTCCAAAGATTATTATGCGGAATGAACAATCAGTGTAATATTTCTAATAATATACTAAATTTTGATTGACCAGAAATATAAAAAATTCTCGAGAAATCTCTGTAGCGAGATGTGAAGTCAGAATAGTAGAGCCATAATATACCCTATTATAACTGAATCCAACCAAACTTGTAGGAAGATGCTAGTATGGTATGAATTGCACAATTTCACAGTCCGTAATTCTATAATGAAAAAAATTGTAAAACAAATATCAAATCAAATCGAATTGTTATTCTATAAAAATGATTTCTGTTGAACATGCGTGATTAAAGGTTATCACATTTATAATATGAGCAGAATACAAATGATGCTTTCATTTTTACTTACAGATCAATATTTCCCGTCATTTAAACATTTAGATAAAGATTCGTTTCTGCTTACAAGACGTGACGCTTCTGTATAATATTATCATTTTGAAACCCTCGCCAAAATTGCCATCTGTCCATGGCGTCACTGTATGCTTTGCCAATAAGTATAATTTCACCCTGACTTATCATCCCGGACCACCAAATATTTGCCAAGCTCCAGATATTGGCGACTGTGTTTATTTTCCAATAGCATTTTTGTGTTATTTCTGGGTACTCGACAGACGTGAGTTATGGATGACGTTATTATCAATACTTTTTTTTCATATTGTTTTCATGTTTTAAATATTTTAAGTAGAACACTATTTTCTTTCAGCTATACGGTCGTTACACTAATTTATATATAACTTCGTAGAGGTGTATGATGATACTTACGTCTAAAAACACGCTAAATACAATCTAAATAATTATAGTTCTTAAATTCAAATACATTGATTAAAGAATTTTAATAACACACGTCAGCAAACCTCCCTAGCAACTTATGTTTTAATTTAAGTTTTTGTTTTTTCTGTAAAAGAACGTATTACTTTCTTATATTTTAATTTAAATACATCTTATTATACGTTTATGTCCATGTTTCCATTTTTTACAACGTATAATGGACTCAACATCTACACATAGTATAAAATAAAACCGCAGTCAAAACAAAACCTTTTCAACTATACAACGGTTTTACTGCGGTTTTCATCAATATAGAGAATGATTGAAGAAGAAGTTTTATAAGCCGCTGGAAAATATTAGTTATAACATAAACAATTTTAATGAACCAAAAATCCAAATGTTTCTGTACTAATATAATGAAGAGATAAATTTTCTTTGTTTTTGTTTGTTTGTAGGAGGTAATCTTTGAAAAAACTGAACCGATTATCAAAATTCTTTCACATACGGGAAGCTTCATAATACGCGGGCGCGTGGCATATGCTACAAAGCTACAATTTATTTACGAAAGCGTAATCGCGAACGATTAATTTAGTTCTCGATATTTTCAACTTAAATTTTATTTCTATAAACTCGTTAAAGCTCTCTACAAAGATTGTCTTATTATTTTGTTAAGAAAGAACAAAATCTTGCGCAGTGTCAATTATTTTAAACCGTTGCAACGGTTTACCAACGCGTTGGTGTTTGGCTTGGCTTTGGCTGCTGCCCTGATGAGAGTTGGCGCGGTGCCGTGGTCTCTCGTACCACGTGACTAGCCTCCTAACAGCTCTGACGATCTTTTGTAAGATTTACGCTCGCGTGAGCTTATAAACTAAAATGTCAAAGAGAAATAATACACTTGAAAATTTCATTCGCGAACCTACAACGTTATGCATTGACAGAGAGAGGAAATAATACTGTAATTGTATAAAGTTTCATTGTGTGTCTTACTGATGACTTTTACTTATTGTCTAAAAACACCACGTAGTTCTAATAGGTACCTATATTAACTAATATTGAAAAGTTAGGCAATAGTCGTTCTTTATATAATTACGATATAAGGATTAGATCTATTCAATATTAATATATTATCTTTAACTTTTAATTTTTTCTTGCTTTGATTATATCGTTAATTTGTGACACTTTTGTTATTTTTCTATATTGCACCGCATTTTAGTCTTTTCCATATCATTATGGAAATTTTTTTGAAAATTCCTTCCTATTCGCAATGAAGCTAGCTGAAAAGTTTAGGTGCTTAAAAAATATTGTTATAGAACAACTCCGGTTTTCCTCCAGGTGGCTTTATCTCAGATTTTCAAGTGTAATCAAAGGGCGAAACCTTAGATTCAAGTAGCTGCATGGAGAGGAAAATTCACTTACACCCATAGCCGACGCCGTTCCAAACATTGAGTGTTGTCAACCACTTTCATTACACACATTGCATTCGACACACTGTACTTACTATTAAAATTACAGTTCTCTTCATATTTTAAAACTTCTTGTTTAAGGATAGTAAAAGGTTTTAAGCAAGTGTGCGTAATTTTTATTTAAACCTCTACATAAAAAAAATAAAACTAGATAGAAATAAAGATGGTGAAAAGATGACGTGTGCAATTGTGCATCACAAAGGGCACTCTTTCGTCTTGTACGTGTCGGAGTAGGTATTAAAGAGATGGAATTATCGCTTTCCTATTGTTTTAAACGTTTAAGAAATACTACCTGTGCGGTTATTGTTAGTTGTCGTGAAGTGTACACTAATTTTGGATTATTGTCTAGTCTAAATAATATCTGTAAGCGTTCCTAAATTAAATAAATTCATTCAATTGTGACGTTCTTTTGAATCATTTTCAATTAGCCTTTTCGCAATAAGAATAAATATAATTCAGTCCGCAATTTTCCTACAAGGAGGAATAAAATTATTCGTAAAACCGAATCTATCAACATTTACCGAAGTGCGTACTTCCATATAAAGCCATAGTTGGTTCGGCGAACGAATTTGCATAGGAATGGCTGATTTCAGAGTTATACCATCGGTGGACGTAGGTCTAGCCAGGTAGTCTGCAGAATAGCCGGCGAGAACCAGGTTTAACTCGCGCCCGTTCAGGTTTATAGCAGATATGACCCGCTTGTTTCAGGATTATGGTAATTGTTTTAGAAAGTTAACTGTAGATGGTGATTTTCAACGCGGATGAATAGATGTATTAACATTCAAAAGTCTATGAAATATACTGCCTATGTACGTACAACAATGATTTGTTTTAATTTGAGATTTAAATTTCAAAAAATTCAATTATTCGATCGATTACAGACCACATAACTAAAATTACAAGAGTATACTCAGTTTCCATAATCTAAGCAAGCTCACATAATTTTTGACAATTTATGAACAATAAATTTTTTAAATTGCTTCAAAATCAGCTTCATGGAAAATGCTTTAAAGTATCACAATATGTTCCCTTAAAAGGAAGGTTGTTATCAATAGAAATCTATAATTTATATTGAAAACAACCCTCCTGATAAGAGTCTGGACGTCTAATAAAAAGACCAAAGCTTTTTTGCGCTAAAAACCTGCATTGATATTGTAATTAGCTAAAAACAACAGTAAATATCAACGGCCAGGTACAGAGTTCAAAGGGAAATCGCCTCTTTGATACACTGCATCACTTTATAGTATTTTTTTTTTCTAAAACCTTATTCATTAATTCAAACCCATTTGTTAATTAAAACAATTTTACCGTTTGATCCTTAAACTAGTTTTATTAGTAAGTAATATTTTGTGTTTTCTGTTTCGAGAATAATTTTTCATCATAAAATAAAACTTGTTTCATATTAGTTCGATTTTGTTTGGTTTTTAAATGATTTCCTTTATAAATAAAATACGTACAAAATTATTATTTTATTAATAATTATCATAATAAAAGGATATATCAATGAAAGTGCATGAGGCGTTCTCTGCCTACCCCGCAAGGGATATGGTGTTTAGATATAGATAGTCTGCGCCGACAAGTTTTAAGATGTCAAAATAAAGGAATATGTATACATGTAAATTCATAGCTAACTTTCTGTGATAAGTGATTACAGAAAGTTAGCTATAAGTGGTAATAAATTTATTACTAATAACCCTATTGACGAATATCACTTGTACAGCACGACAAGGACTGTCTGATTTGAAAAGTTGGACGGACGCATTCCTAAAATACGGAATACGAATCTATTAAAAAAATATAAATCCATTCCGAATAATTATAATAATTCCTTTTGGTGTATTTCCCGGCACTCAGCTAGCACTTGGTTGCTTTTGATCGATAGTGAAAAAAGTTTCAAATAAAATGGCATAGTCCAAATTGCAATATCCTACAATTTGGACCCACCAGATACACTAAACCTTTCTCTTTCAAGCGTATGACATTTTCTTTTTATGAAAACATGAAAAACTATGTTGATGAGTTTTGCTTAAATATACTCCATCCGGTAGATATTTCGTCGAAGATAAGTATACCTACTTTCATAAAAAATATACATACTCTTTGATCATAGAAAATTATCCTTTCGGATTTTGAATGAATGCAATGCAATCTTTTGTTTTTAGCTGAAATAAACATATCATCTAAATATTTACGTGATACTGTTGAAAAGCGTATTTTGTTTTGATAGGAAAACAACTGATACGATAAAATTGAAATGGGATAGCAAAAAGAATTTTGAAAATCGGTCAACAGTTGGCGGATATATCGGTACATATATTAGAACAAAAAAAACCTAAATCATCGTCGAACATATAACCTCCTTCTTTTCGATTTTTAAGTCGGTTAATTAAAAAAAAAACGCTAAAATAAATCTTATTTTTAATAATGTTTAACTAAATTCAACTGTTATATTAAATGCGAAATGTTTTTAATCTTTTGAAATTATTTTAACGCTATTTTTTTTAATTACCACAACACGATTCAACTAGAGACCACGCGGACGAAATATAACAATTATTGTAAAAATATAGCAGGGAGCTAATAGTCTAATTTTAATATCAATCGCAGTCCCTCTCATTTGCCATTTGAAAGATATCCACGAACTTCACACTACAACTATTTGACATGTGTTAGCGATCGTAACGTATTTTAATAAGTTATTAAAAAAAATTGTAATCATAGATTACAACTTTAAAGTTATATTATTCCATAAATCGCTATACCTTTCTTCTTCTTCTTTAGTGTCAGTGGCAACCAAAACTAAATGTCACCGGCCCAGAACTCCGCCACTTTTACGGCGCTATCTGCAGCCGTCATGAGATCCTCCTGCGTACAGGTGTAGGGGCAAGCGGGGCAGCATATCAGGTGTGGAGTGGTCTGAGGCGTAGTACCACCCCTGCACGCAAGGTCTGCAGTATTAGTAAAACCCCACCTGGACCGATTGTCTTTACTCCGGCCAACCTGAGTGCGGAGTCTATTTAAAGATTTCCACACCGGTCTGGGGAGGTCGTAGCCAGGCGGTGGGCTATACCTTTGAAAAAATAAAACAGAAATAATCTCACAGTAGAGTAAGTTATACATAACATACTTAATGTTCGATTTGGGCCCGTATTGACCATTAAAACTGATGTGGAGAATATAAGATAAATAATTATAACTATTTTACTATCTTTAATTATTGAATAATAATATGCAATTTATACATTTGCAGATTTTCTCCTCAACGGTTTAACTTGGAGCTGCACATTCGCTTTGGGCGTAGATATCCTTAAATTGCATTATTACACAAATGTCATTAGTGTCAAATTGTATTTAAGGATAATATATTATAGATAATACATATTAATGGCAATCACGCTAGACCGCTTTTTAATCTCGAAATGACCAGGACTAGTTCAGATATAGGTGGAATATGCTGAACATAAAATGAATGGCATAAGCAGGAGCATTCAATTCATATCTATTTAAAATCATGGCATACTCAGCTAAATGAAACAGGATTTAATGTCTATCGAAATACAAAAAAGATTTAGTATATCAAATGCGATGTGGAAGTTAAGCAAATTTCGTAAGGACTGGTCATTGAGTGGGTAACCAAAATTTACTATCCCGAATTCCTTCGTACTTTGGACGATACGTTAATTAAGCTGTTGGTCTGGCTGCATTTTCATATATGACATTCTCAATCATAACCTGTGCGGTGCGAATCCATTTAAGCTATCGTTTAGTGTCAAATCACGCTATGGCACTCCATCTCAGACAGAACAGCTCTACACCGCTCTACATCTTTCGCCTCGAAATGAAGTTTAATCAAAGAGTTTTTTTTCTACAAAATGCTCAGGTAACAATCATTTATGCGAAAATAAAGAGACAAAGGTTTTTGTCATCTTGCTAATAATTATCTATACAGTGACTTTCGAACACAGTTCAATATCAAATCGTTATTTTTAATTTATAGTCAAGAAGCGAAAATCCAATAACATTAATAATATAATTTCCAAATAACAAATAATATTATGCATTTCTTTACATTAATACAACCATCCTACTTTAAAGGACCATGTGTGTAGCGAGCTTCTGATTACAATTTGACTCGCGTCGTGTTTGAGTCTCATTGCCGCGTCTGATTGTCTAGGCACCAGCGTAAATTTCAAACTACAAATTTTCGTGCTAACTCCAACGCGCTCTGTGATTGCCATGTAAGTTTTTAGCCGAGATTGAACGTGTTTCAATTTTCAAATAAAGACATATACAAATGTAGGTTATATAGTCATTTTATTTCTCTGTACCTAGGTACTTTTGTACCTAACTGGTTAGATAATAAAAAAAATACTTGATTGCATGAAATAATTACTTATTTAAAATCTTTTCAACTTTTGTATAGCGCAACCAGCCAATTTCAATATCTTGGAACTGATTCTTTATTCGAAAACTTTTGGTTTCAAAATGTACGTATTACAACAAAATACTTAAAACGTTCACATTTAAGGAAACTTCTATTGAAATCGGATATTTAAAATAATCTCTACCTACATACATAACTTCAATATCTATTGAAGCGTCTGATTATTGTATATAATGAAACCATTAAGATAATTATTAAAGAAAATCTCAATCAATGACTTATGGTTCTTCAAAAAGTAATTCTAAAAACAAAAGAATAAAAATTCCAAATTATATAGGTATACGCTTATCTTTAACGGAGCCTTAATTACTCCTATTAAAGCAAATCAGTATATCTCGTAAGTATCTAAAGTACTTTTCCAGGAAACTAATGTTCGATTGTAAAACTGAATTAGGGTATACTTTTAAACCTTGATAGGTATTAAGACCGGCAATCAAATCCCCTAGGTTTCCAGAGCAGAAAATAACACAAAGTAAACTTTAATTTGAAAACCAGTTCATTCACGGTTTACTGAATTTTAATTTAAAATAAAAAAGGTCCATTTCTAATTTGGTATCTAGTAAATAAGTCTAGTATAATTTTATCTAGACATAATTAGCCTCTCCTCCCTTTTAATTTCGACTGATAATAAACCAACCATTGTCATGATTTCATCTTTAATTTGAGTTAAGATGACCCTTTATTAAGCCACTTTCTAATTATACTAGGGATGCATCCGATATCGATATTCTTAAATTAATTTTACATAAATAGGGGGAGGGGTGAGGGAAATGACGCCAAAGGAAGATTTTGCTCCGTTTAAAAATATCGTTGATCCTATCCTGTTGGTATCGGCATCAGCAAGACTTTTTATCTTATATCGGTATTATATAGCAGAATAGTGTGGTGCGTAAAGAAAGTATGCGGTGCGAATAAGTCTACTCAACCTTATATTTGCCAGCTGACATCGCCCCACTTCGCATCGCTCGCTCGGAATGAAGGTTTCCCACAAAATGCAACACCATTCCCTTTTGCTTAATTACAAAACAATACTAAGCTAACATTAAAGCGGAGTGGAGAAAACCTTATAATTGAATGTAATGCTAAATGCTACGAAACGATTTCCTAAAAAAATACAAAGCACTATAAATTTAAAGCGATAAGCAAAACTCCTTCACAATAACTTGAATAGAAAGTTATCACCCATAACCAAGTATTATAGCAACTTGTCTTATCCTCGTAAAATTTCTACCAATTTAGATTCGCTCCAAAAAGTACCAGCGAATCGTATAATAACTCGGTAAAGCGTATGTTTTATGAGACGAGACGCGCCTTTCAGTATGTGCTAGTGATGTTACATAGTTACGCGCCACGAATAGTGAGTTTAGTATTTTTAGTGTATAGAAAAATCTATTATCCAAATAATAAGGATATAAATGAAAGTCAATACATTATGCATGATTTTTGTAAATAATTGATATGTAACAAAAAAATAAACCTACCTACTTACTTTTTACAATAAAAATGTATTTATTGGAACAATTTTTTACTTACTATACTTTGACTAAAACTAATAAACCGTAAGGGTTGTACAGAAAATCCAATAAAAAAATATCTACCTATCTTAAAGAAAACTCTACCTATCTTTTCATTTATATAGTGTTGCATTTTCTATTTACATTAAAAGATCATAACAGCCAATAATTATGTCGTTTGGCTTTTGAAAGAATCAGTCAGAACTGAGACTGACTGCTGAATAATATTATTAATAGTTTTTAGTTATTTTTATATTGCTAGTAGTATTTATTACGTCTAAAAAACTACTGTAATTAATTGATTCCTATTTGAAATCAAAAAGTAAAGCAATATTATATAAAATAAAGGACCGATTTCATTTATAAATTATTCTAACATTTCTTTATAAATATTCTGAAATAATAATAAAAATAATAAGTACAACATATTATTAATTACGACAATATTAATTTAGCTCGCCCCATCACTAAAATAGTATGACAACACGTTTTGTGTAATACTTGAGTATCGCACATGGCCATTGTGGCAAATGGGATTGCATTGGATGCACTTACGGACGTTTTCATTTCAGATTATTCGTTTCATGGGACATTTGTAAGTAGTTTTTATGTTCGGGCAGGCGGCGGTGTCGCACCTTCTAGATTGTATTTTTATTTGTCTCGGGGAGGACGCGGCCGCTACAGACGTTGACACCTTTATGAAATTCCACATCTCACTTAGTGATTTTCATAACCATTTTAAATATCACCTTTTATTGGTTAAAATCGTCTTCTCTATATAAAATACAGGATATACCGCGGCGATAGGCGGCGATAATTTGCTAACTGATAGCATCCGATAGACTGTCCTAGACTTAAAGAATAATACAATCGAGTTTGTAATTGAAACAAATTAAATTATGGGCTTTTATTAGCGCAATAAGAGTAGTGACTTTCAATTATAATGTGACGAAATCAAATCGGATCATCCGAAGTCAATAAATAATTTAGACCTCAGCTTTTACGACATAGAGGTTCGGTGGAATAAAACCATTATTATCTTTTAGAGTAGGTTTTATTTGGTTAAACTACTATGGTATGACAGCCCTACGCTCGCCATCGAGTTCAAGATTGGTTTTTATAACAGAATAGCACCTAAGCCGTGAGATCATTAAAGTACTTAATCTGGATATTGATAAAATGTATTAAACAATAATCCATGACTTGATAGTTCGAGATTGATTTTATAATAATAAAATATCGATAGTTCGAGATTGATTTTATTATTATAAAATCATAGTAGTTTAACCAAATAAAACCTACTCTAAAAGATAATAATGGTTTTATTCCACCGAACCTCTATGTCGTAAAAGCTGAGGTCTAAATTATTTATTGACTTCGGATGATCCGATTTGATTTCGTCACATTATAATTGAAAGTCACTACTCTTATTGCGCTAATAAAAGCCCATAATTTAATTTGTTTCAATTACAAACTCGATTGTATTATTCTTTAAGTCTAGGACAGTCTATCGGATGCTATCAGTTAGCAAATTATCGCCGCCTATCGCCGCGGTATATCCTGTATTTTATATAGAGAAGACGATTTTAACCAATAAAAGGTGATATTTAAAATGGTTATGAAAATCACTAAGTGAGATGTGGAATTTCATAAAGGTGTCAACGTCTGTAGCGGCCGCGTCCTCCCCGAGACAAATAAAAATACAATCTAGAAGGTGCGACACCGCCGCCTGCCCGAACATAAAAACTACTTACAAATGTCCCATGAAACGAATAATCTGAAATGAAAACGTCCGTAAGTGCATCCAATGCAATCCCATTTGCCACAATGGCCATGTGCGATACTCAAGTATTACACAAAACGTGTTGTCATACTATTTTAGTGATGGGGCGAGCTAAATTAATATTGTCGTAATTAATAATATGTTGTACTTATTATTTTTATTATTATTTCAGAATATTTATAAAGAAATGTTAGAATAATTTATAAATGAAATCGGTCCTTTATTTTATATAATATTGCTTTACTTTTTGATTTCAAATAGGAATCAATTAATTACAGTAGTTTTTTAGACGTAATAAATACTACTAGCAATATAAAAATAACTAAAAACTATTAATAATATTATTCAGCAGTCAGTCTCAGTTCTGACTGATTCTTTCAAAAGCCAAACGACATAATTATTGGCTGTTATGATCTTTTAATGTAAATAGAAAATGCAACACTATATAAATGAAAAGATAGGTAGAGTTTTCTTTAAGATAGGTAGATATTTTTTTATTGGATTTTCTGTACAACCCTTACGGTTTATTAGTTTTAGTCAAAGTATAGTAAGTAAAAAATTGTTCCAATAAATACATTTTTATTGTAAAAAGTAAGTAGGTAGGTTTATTTTTTTGTTACATATCAATTATTTACAAAAATCATGCATAATGTATTGACTTTCATTTATATCCTTATTATTTGGATAATAGATTTTTCTATACACTAAAAATACTAAACTCACTATTCGTGGCGCGTAACTATGTAACATCACTAGCACATACTGAAAGGCGCGTCTCGTCTCATAAAACATACGCTTTACCGAGTTATTATACGATTCGCTGGTACTTTTTGGAGCGAATCTAAATTGGTAGAAATTTTACGAGGATAAGACAAGTTGCTATAATACTTGGTTATGGGTGATAACTTTCTATTCAAGTTATTGTGAAGGAGTTTTGCTTATCGCTTTAAATTTATAGTGCTTTGTATTTTTTTAGGAAATCGTTTCGTAGCATTTAGCATTACATTCAATTATAAGGTTTTCTCCACTCCGCTTTAATGTTAGCTTAGTATTGTTTTGTAATTAAGCAAAAGGGAATGGTGTTGCATTTTGTGGGAAACCTTCATTCCGAGCGAGCGATGCGAAGTGGGGCGATGTCAGCTGGCAAATATAAGGTTGAGTAGACTTATTCGCACCGCATACTTTCTTTACGCACCACACTATTCTGCTATATAATACCGATATAAGATAAAAAGTCTTGCTGATGCCGATACCAACAGGATAGGATCAACGATATTTTTAAACGGAGCAAAATCTTCCTTTGGCGTCATTTCCCTCACCCCTCCCCCTATTTATGTAAAATTAATTTAAGAATATCGATATCGGATGCATCCCTAGTATAATTAGAAAGTGGCTTAATAAAGGGTCATCTTAACTCAAATTAAAGATGAAATCATGACAATGGTTGGTTTATTATCAGTCGAAATTAAAAGGGAGGAGAGGCTAATTATGTCTAGATAAAATTATACTAGACTTATTTACTAGATACCAAATTAGAAATGGACCTTTTTTATTTTAAATTAAAATTCAGTAAACCGTGAATGAACTGGTTTTCAAATAAAATATCGATAGTTCGAGATTGATTTTATAATAATAAAATCAATCTCGAACTAATTCCCTGTTTGGTAATCGGAGTCAACTAATTATTTCATTAATTTGTAACATATAAATGAAGTAACTTTATAATTTAGTAACTTTGACGTAACGTGAGATAGACACGATTTTCAAAACCTCCATTTCAAAGAAACATGGCATAATAATTGATTCGTATTACGATAGCAGCACAAGAGAGCATATAAACAAAAAAAAAAGATTTTCCTACACGAATTATACCGGTCCTCGAAAAAGGAATAGATTAACGTTGACAAATAAAAATACAACCTATCCCGTGCCCGTTCACACCTCTCCAACCCGCAATCGCCATAGGCGTTCATCACTAAAATCACCATCCAACGATACCCAGAAACAATTGGTCCACACACCCAACCAAATTACATTTCCAATTCATGAAGCCAGTTATTTCCCTTTCTTCCCCTCTCTCATCCTTCGCACCTCGCGATCTTTTTCTATGAATATTTTTTCTGGGAAACTTGTTGACTTAATTTTATATCGTTTCTTTCTTTATTTTTAATGCCGATCGTTTTCGGATGCCCGAGGGACGGAAACACCCAATATAGATGATAATCTTATTGTTTTAAGGCTCATCTCTACTAATATACTTGAGCTAAAACAATTTGAGAAGAAATATATGATTGGGGTTGAAAAAAAAGGTAAGGAACTCTTGTTTTTCTTTTGTTCGCAAAAGCATATGTTAAACGGCAATTCCAACTTAAACGCATTATGATGATGAAAATGTTGTATATCATACATATGGAAAAGCTGTAATAAAACCTCTGTCAACTTTTACGAATTTCAGAAGCTGTCGGATTGTTTCTCTCGTATCAGAACGGAAGAATATTGTACAGAAATAAGTAAATACCATCATGAAGAAAATATGAAATTGGCCTCTCGTAGTTTTCTGACCAATTACCGTTCAGGATCGCAGTTTGCCCCTCATGTAGCCATAGGTAGAGCACTCACGCGCCGCCTTATTCCAAAAGGCCTAATCTTTTAAGTTAAGGGGACT